AACTCAATACAAACTAACGATAAGAAGTTAGGAAATTGAAATTTGCAAGGAAGCTTCGCTCAGCTTGATTAATAGGACTCCTGTATCGGAGTCTAAGATGAAACTACGATTGCAAATAGAAATTTTGAGAGAAATATGTGCGTTTTATGCAACGACGGGGGTCCCGCGGGCGCGTCACGTCTCAGAAACGACTTCTGTTCTGAGAAACGAGCAAGGACGACACGACGTGAATTTGTTGCGAGACACCTTCTTGCATTCGAACAAAATATTTCGGATACCTGCGCGTCTGTATCCCCGTGTCTATACTTTGACCTCGTATTCCTATTTTCCCCCACTCTTCAAACTAAACATTAAGGAGGTTAGTAGGTTATGAAATGCGTTTTAATTAAAGTGAGATTATAGGAAGAATGAAAAGATAAAATAAATATATGTTCACGGGGCTGTTTGACTATATGCTTCACGCCAATATAAGTGAAAACAAAATTGAAAACGTTTCAAAATGGCGCACTTGCGGAGGCTGAAAATGATTGACTTTTTCTAGTGTTTTTACAAATAGAATACGTGATTTAAGGGAAACAGCCAGTTTGAAATAATAGTTGATTTAAGGTGACTAAAAACTAGAAAGTATTATTCACAAACAGATGGCATGGATTTTTGACGAAAATTTTCGTTTAGAACATATCGATGCCTACAGTGCAAAAAGCATCGGAGAAGTGATTTTTGTGAACTATTTTTTTTTTAACTAAAATCTGAATTTCTTTTTCATCGAAAAACCAAGTCAACGATTCTTAAATACCGTTTCCATGATTCTAAAACCACCTCAACTTATCATTTCAGAAATGCCGCTCTCCTAGGATTACGTATCCACGCAAAAAAAAAAAAATAGATCAGAAATATGCAATCTCCACAAACCCACCATTTAGAAACACTAAAACATTTTTCCATCCAACATCATCCTTCAAACATCGGATAAAAGAGCCTTGTAAGAAAATTGTCTACATCTATCCATTCTCCTTCAAACTCATTTTGATTGAAACTCATTTCACAACCTACTAAACCCCTTGATCGTTTAAAAAAAAATAAAATAAAATAAAAAACGGCAAATATCCTGAATTGAGAAAATACAAATCTACGAGATAACTGAAGATTCTTCGGGAAATTCGTCCCCAATAAGTACAAAGGCGCTTCTCCAGGCAATCTCCTAGAGTGCTGTCAGCGTGTACAAGCATTTACACATTTTACAACCTACTAAACTCCTTGATCGTTAAAAAAAAAATAAAATAAAATAAAAAACGGCAAATATCTTGAATTGAAAAAATACAAATCTACGAAATAACGGAAGACTCTTCGGGACATTCGTCTCCAGTAAGTACAAAGGCGCTTCTCCAGGCAATCTCCTAGAGTACTATCAGCGTGTACAGACATTTACACGTTTCACAACCTACTAAACTTATCGCTCAAAAAAAAAATTAATTAATTAAAAAAAAAATGAAAACTGGCAAATGAATTGAAAAAATACAAATCTACGAGATAACCGAAGACTTCGGGACATTCGTCCCCAATAAGTACAAAGGCGCTTCTCCAGGCAATCTCCTAGAGTGCTGTCAGCGTGTACAGAATCCGTGAACACGTAAGTGGCCAGAGGGAACAAACTTGGGAAAAGTAATCACGGTGACGGGGACCTAACTCAAGGAAGAGTCGACCCCTCATTGTCTTATGCTTTACGCGCCGCTATTTACGCTTTATCTTATCCTCGCTTGCCTTCCTCCTCGAGGGAAGCGTCTTTTGTCGCCCGGTCGTTAGAAACTTCCGTCAAGGGTCGCCGCTGTACAACGGAGAAAGCGAGAGATCCTCTTGGCGAAGATGCCTATCGGGACAAAGTATCGCAAAAGATGGGCAAAAAAGGCCATCGGCCCGTAAAAGAGCGTTAAGTGTCCCGGTAGGGTATTTCCGACAAGGTCTATTTTCATTTTCGTCAACTATTATCTAGAAATGCAATCATATTTCCGTAAGTTCACAAACGAATTTATATTGTAGAAAATTCTCATCGGAGGTATTTGCATACTTACATCAAACTACCGAGAGGGTAACGAGGAGTTTTCATCAGTGCCGGAGAATTCATTATCAATTGCTATATGATTCGTTTCGTTGCAAAAAATGACTTTTCTTAACCATTACTAATTTGTCCGCGAACTTGTTGAACAACCCAATATATTTAAACAATGAACCCATAAAGTATATAATTAAATAAAATTGAAAATTTTCTGATATCGAATTCTCAAGTACTCTTATGAAACGATGTTTGTATTACATGAAATATGCACATTGATGAAAAATGCATAACATGAGATAAAATTCCGCTCTTTTGCCTTGTAAAGAACCCAGATAGACAAAGTGATGCAGAATTTGCATCAAATTTGCCTCATAAAAGATCATGAAATGAGTCATGAGGATGTTGCTTACGAGTCCTCATTTGGAACTGAAATCTAAGGTACACAACGACGAGCCAAAAACACTTAAATATGAAACAACGTTAAATACATACAATGTCTCAATGTCTGTACGCATATGTATAGCTAAATTTATCTCACACATAAATTACACTGCCGATAAACAATTGCAGCGTCTCATGTCTCATATTTGAGCCATGACGTCACAAATTTTTCTTAAAATCTATTGTGTAATATGCGTGCACACATTTCAGACATTTCATGCAGCAAATAGTCTGCAAATTGTAAATCGATTTCCCGCATAATGTGATGATCACGAATTTCTGTCTAGGAAATATCGCGACAATAATGACTTGGCACGAGAAATCCGGTGAATCTACGAAGGCCGAGATATTGTTACGTGTCCAATGAATAAAAATTGTTTGGTCGATGGTGAATAAGGGAGAATGTCGTCGCGTGATGTCAATGATAACGTGATGTTCCTTCCGGAAGAAGTAAAGGGGCACGAGGGATAACCAGAGAACACGTACGTTTCTCGTGGACCCTTTAGATCGAATTAAATCTACTCTTTAAATTATGCATTAGGTAACTCTCCAAAAGTAGATTTTATTATAAAATAAATATTATAAGATTGCCAGAAAACGACGGAACCTCTGGAACGATCTAATACATAACCTTTCGATTGAATATTCCTTAATATATGTCTTATGTCATTCCAAAGGTTCCGTCAATGTTCAACGACCTTTTTAAAGAAGTATAAATGTTAAACAATGACCTAATACATAAATCAGCGAATAGGATTGATTCGATCGAAAGGATGCAGGAAAGATGTACGCGTTCATCAGTTATTCTTCATTTCCTTTTTCTCCTCCCAAGTGTATTAGGTCATTCGCCAAAATCCTGTTCTTTCAAAAAGTGTACCAAAAAACGACAAAACATTGACCCCTCGAGAAAACGACGATCTCTTGAAACCCTCGGCAACAAACACCGAAGACTCATTGACCTCTTCCAGTTATAAACACTCGTTTGAAAATATTCCACTTGGTTTACACTCATCGCTCTGTTTTCCAGCGGTTCAAAGTCAAGCTGCCGAAAAAGAAACGAGAGTCGACACAGTTAGGCTCAGAATTATTAACGGTGGACATAACTTCTTAAAACTCGTACGAAATGGATTGGCGAAAACAGCCTCGACGAACAATTTTTTGAAATCACGATCAATGAGAGACATGAACGAACGAGATCTTTCTTTTTCGGGAACCGACGTTATCATTAATGTGAAAGTGGCGTCAGAGGTCTCATTAATGAAACTTTTCTCCAAATTAGATGTAACGAATGGTTTCAGACTTTACAATGAGAATATAGAGGATATAAGGAAAGTCCCGGCACTCATGAAATTTTTCCTACGGTTCAAAGTCAAGCTACCGAAAAAGAAACGAGAGTCGACACAGTTAGGCTAAGAATTATTAACGCTCTTTGAACATAATTTCTTAAAACTCGTACAAAATGGATTGGCGAAACCGGCCTCGACGAACAATTTTTTAAAATCACGATCAATGAGAGACATGAACGAACGAGATCTTTCTTTTTCGGGAACCGACGTTATCATTAATGTGAAAGTGGCGTCAGAGGTCTCATTAATGAAACTTTTCTCCAAATTAGATGTAACGAATCGTTTCAGACTTTACAATGAGAATATAGAGGATATAAGGAAAGTCATGAAATTTCAATTTTTGTTGAATTTGTTCATAGGTAGTTTACAATTTTTTAAATAAAATTTCATGTTTAGGACCTTCCTTATAGCCTTCGTATTCACATTGAACCGATTTGGTACACTCACTTTGGAGAAAAGTTCCATGAACGATTGACTCCTCGGATACCACTTTCACTTCCCCTCAATACACTGAACGAGGATACCAATCGTTAATATCGACATAACCTACAAATTATCGTAATAAAACAACAAGGTATGGAAGCACGTGTTACCCCACGTGGTTCGCGGAAAAGCCAACCATCAAGGAGTGTACATCTCTTTACTTCGAAAATTAATTGACATGTATTGTTAAGTAAGCCAACGAATTTAGTACAATTTTCAAGTTGATTATGGTCGTCGTAGTTTCCTATTCATTAAGAATCTCCTGTCCCTGCCGATGCAAGGGTTTTTCAGTTTCCGGTGATTATAAAAAGATAATGAAGTCCGAGGGCTAGGACATTTACCTCCAAAATAAACCTACTATTAACCCTCTAAATACGCATTTCCCCTTTCACGCCGAAACATGGAAATATTCAAACGCTACAAAGACGAAACGCTTTCCGCCGTCGTTTACATATCACTAGCCAGACATCTTTGTGGATAACCACGAACCATAATTCTTCTCCATTCCTTCCGTATTTTTATTTCCGGTACTAATCATGCCTGAACAAAAAATGATCGAAAATACGCAAATTTCGATCCTACCTGAACGTATCTCGTTTCAATATTCCTCCCTCGTGTATTTTCCATTTCAAACCCATCGAGGCATCGAGATAACGAAGAGATAAAAATGTACTCACTCTGTGCTGCAGCAGCGACGACCACGACGAAGACGGCGAGGATGCCGGTCGCGACCTCCATTTTCCGCTTTCCGTTGTCCAGATAATGTCACCAAATATCACGGTTCTCGCCGATTTGCCTTTATCTCTCGTTCGATCCAGGTCAGTCACGATCTGCGCACCTTATCGTTGTCGTTTCCTGGCGTGCGATACGGGGGGAAATCGGCCCCCGTGACGATAAGTCGTCCTCCGAAGGACTTGTCAACAACTTCGCGCGTGCTCCCTGCGACAAGTCGGCATGGGGAACCTAACCTCGCATTTTTTAAACGCGCCAATGTCGTTAATCGCCGCCTCTCGCGTACCGTTCAAATATACATTCCGCGCCGCACACGGGCCACGTGCTCGATACCAGTGTTTTCGAAGCCTACAATGGGACCGGGGCGATACCGGAAATCCAGGAGTGTCATCGGATCTTGGAGAAAGAATGGATCAGTTATTATCCTTCATCGGGCCGCAGTCCTTTCGGCTGTCCCGTTGGAAAGGACGATAACAAGGACTGTCCACGTGGGGGGCGCGGTGACCAATCTCGAAGGAACCACCGTGAAGTCGGTGCCAGCGTGCGCGCGGATTTGACCCAGGTCGCGGAACGGCGAGGACGACGCGCGTGCTGCAGCGGCCCGCGAGCGAATGAGCGGGCGCCTCCTGAGCCGCGAGCGCTTCCGAGTTCCGAGTCGCCGGTCACCCCTTCCCTTGCGCCGGGCTCGCGTTCTTTCCCCCACCACTCGCCCGCTTCCCTTATCGCGGGCCGTGCGCACCCCCCACCACTGCCCTGCAGCGCGTGCGGCCGCCCCGTCGATTACCGATTTCAATCGGTGGCGGAACGGCTGAAGGGCCACTTCGCTCGGGGTTTCTCGAATTTTCTTATGTCAATAATATTAGTTTATTTTATTCCTTCCGCATATTTTATCGATTTTATATAATGAACAGGCTTAATCACTAACTGAGGGAAATGTGTAAATCCAACGCGTATAAGCACGCTTTTGATTTAAATTCCAATGGAATTCTTCCTATTCGTTTTTCTGCACTCTTTTTTGCCGTTCCTTCATGTTTTATTTGTACGATATCTAGCATATATATAGCGTTTATCGGTCCTTCGTTTCACTGTCCTTTCTCCAATTTCTATCTTTAATCTAGTACATCTAGTATTAATTAATTAATTAATTCAATTCTCTAATCACACGTCCTAAAATGAATCTAATTTTTCCTAGGAGAAACAATTTCGAAATCGCCCTGTCCTGATATTTTACTTCGATGATTCATCGTTCTTTCATTTCAGCCCAGGAGTTAAAATAGGAGCCTACTTCGCGTCGCGGATCCTCGACCTAAGACAAGGAAGACGTAAAAAGTGTCCTCTAGACGTCTCGAGGGGGTCTCGAACGGATTATTCTCTCATCTGGCCGTTCATCGGGGAGCTGTGCGACTCTCGTGCAATCGGCAGTCCCACGTGGAAACACTAAAAGACCAGAAATCGGTGTATATGTCAGTCCTGTCGAGACGAGTCGGGTCGCTCGGGCTAGTACGGCTTCCCCGGAGCAATGAATGGGGCCGTCCGCATGAATGAACGAGACCGAGAGCCGCGCATGCGCACTGCCCCCCGCATTCCATTCCATTCCGTTCCCTTTTTACGCACGCCCGCCGCGGCCGACTATTGTCCTCAACGATTGCTTCGAACCTACCAGACGCTCGCAATATTCGGCTTCTACCGTTTCTCCATTATATCGGCTCCAAGCGTTTCTACGCATTGGTTCACCGCGGCTGAATTTAAGGTTATATGAAATTCCATATATTCATCATATATATAAAAATGTGAAAATATTTATAAAACTTTTCTTCAGAGTGCACCGAATCATTTTAAACTTCTGCACGTGATTATGAAGTCCCTAAAGAAGAACGAGATGCTTGTGACATTTCGTTTTTCCAACCGAATTTTATTTTATTTAACCTAGACTAGAATGAAGATCTCATTTTTTTTTTGTGAAAAATGAAATTTCACGAGCTTCGCGTTATTCCTTAGGACATCTATAATCATGTGCTGAAGTTTCAAATGATTCGATCCACCCAGTTTGGCGAAAAGTTTTATAAATATTTTGACGTTTTATGTATATAGATTGTCACTTTTATATAATCTTAATGCATCGTAAATATATACTATACTCGATGCGCATCACCCAATAATGCCACGGTAAGAGATCGGACGTTTGTACTTTCTCCTGAAATCCTTTTCATCCTCTATAATCTTCCTCTGCAAAAAAGTAAAGACCGAAATAAATTGAGATAATTGTATTCATTGGAAATAATATTCATCAAATTCGTATAATTTGAGTACGTAAGGTTGAAGTAAAAATATAAATTGAACGTTGAAAAAGTGAATTATCGTACAATTGGTATACATTTCTAAATGTTTGTAATTCTATAACATTTATAATTCTATAATAGCGCGACCATACTTATGTGAAATTGTATAGGAAAATGAATACACTAAATTTACATCGTGTTTATAAGATGTTTAAATTAAATATTATAAAATTAGTGGAACATATTGAATATAACCTTTAAAAAATGTTATAAAACATTACTACTACCTTAACACTGTATATAAAGTAATAATAACGGTCAAAGAGTTAATATTTATCCTGTTTGTATTGCTAGATCTTCCAACGATATAGGAATGTCCATTAGTGGAACATGTTTGAATATAACCTTTAAAAAATGTTCTAAAACATTACTACTACTTTAACACTGTATATAAAGTAGTAATAACCGTCAAAGAGTTAATGTTTATCCTGTTGGTATTGGTTGATCTTCCAATGATGTAGGAATGCCAACTGGGTAAAAATGTAGATTCATAAATATAACATGTTAGGCGCATGTTTAGAAAGTAACAGAGTCGTGGAGACTGACTTTTAAAAAAGACTGTTCCAGTCCTTGGGCAGATATTACCAACATGCCCTAATGATCCCCTAGGGCACAAAACGCAGAAAGAACGGCCATATTTAATGATATCTTGATGGTATTTTAACTTTGTCTCACGCTGGGCAGGCAGAAAATAACTCCTGCGCGACGCTTTCGTAATTGTGCTCCTACAATACTATTAAGTTGCTTTAGACATCCACAAAAAAAAAATTACCATCTAATAAACTAAGATGTATATTAGAGATTTTCCGATGAGTTACATCCTTGAATCTCTAAAGTTATGAGCTGTAATATAACTAACGTAACTGTGCTCCTACAATACTATTAAGTTGCTTTAGACAATCTACGAAAAAAAAAATTACCGTCTAATAAATTAAGATGTATATTAGAGATTTTCCGATGACCTACATCCTTGAATCTCTGAAGTGATCAGCTGCATTTACGCAAGAACATCCAATCACCCGACGTGATTAATGAAATGCCTGGAGCAATTATGGAGGTGAATAGTTAATGCGTTAGTTTAACAAGGAAGTCAGGCTTTGCTACTTTCCAAAATTACTTCATGAGCTTGTTTTAGACGCTGACACACGCGGATTTAAACCAATGGGATCATTTGTCGACCAAGAATGTAATTATCTGATCGAAATGACAAACTTCGAAACGATCGAAACGTGTCCTGCTGTATGACTATTCCAGAAATATGAGAAATTATTGTTTTATGAAATTTATCGAGTGGAAGTATGGCACGGCGGATTTAAACCAATGGGATCATCTGTCGACCAAGAATGTAATTATCTTATATAAATGGCAAACTTCGAAACGATCGAAACGTGTGCTGCTGTATAACTATTCCAAAAATAAGAGAAATTATTGTTTTATGAAATTTATCGTGTGGAAGTGTGGTACGGCAGATTTAAATCAATGGGATCATTTGTCGACCAAGAATGTAATTATCTGATCGAAATGACAAACTTCGAAACGATCGAAACGTATGCTGCTGTATAACTATTCCAGAAATAAGAGAAATTATTGTTTTATGAAATTTATCGAGTGGAAGTGTGGCACGGCGTAAAATAAAAGGCGCTGATCGGTCGACAAAAAAAACTGTCGTGTAAATAAATTCTTAGTCAGCAGTTACGTGATTATCCTAATCACTTACTTAATATTGTAACGTGACATAAGATAGGCTGCACTTACATTGCACCGTTCTGTACGAATTGCTCAAACTGTAACAATAAGAGAAATATGTTTTCCTGCAAAGATGAAATATATGGATAAATATGTCGGTGGGGTTATTTAAATTCATAAATAATACAAGCCGTTCTATAGACTTGAATAGAACTGATAGGTACCAACGGAAAGGAGAAAATAAAGAAAAATAACTAGCCGATGGTAATTCGTTGTAAGTCGTACTCAAACGTGGTGTACTACATAATTTTTTGTACATTTTAGTTACATTTCTTATAAACGTCTCATAAATTTGATTCATAAGGGTATTAATATTTCTACCCAATTCCACATAATTATAATGTCATCTCATAAAATTATAAAATGGTTTAGAAACGTATAAGTGGTAAATATATACTTAATCCACTTTTGAGCCGAAGATATTTATAATTTTACTACAAACGTATGTATCAAAAGAATATGAATTTTTTTAAAATACTTTTAACGGTATAACCATGCATACCTTTCTGTACAGATTCTCTCCACACCCGCTTTAATTAATGAATTAAAATGAAATTTCACATTATCATAGCAATGCAGGTGTTTTCATTTATAAGCTGCACTCACGCGTGCCGCGTCGGAATGTCTAATATTTCTGAAATGCTTCGTTAAAGGGTTTGCGTGGGTAAAAGGAATAAAAGTAAAGATGACGTGTCTACAGCCTGTGGTTCGAGAGCCCTCTGTCATTTCGACGTGAATTCCAATCATTTGATTCGAAAGGGGCGCACGTTGGACCCGCCACGGAAGAACGGAAAGGAGGCGGCAGAAGGTTTCTTTACCGACAGAAGGAAAGAATTGCAGGTTAGGACTTGTCCGGAATACAGGGTAACCAAATACGAGCAGTCTTTCACTTCGCAGCTGACTGTAGAGGACGACAATGCTCCTGAAAATTGGAGCCCTCCTCGGGCCCTTCCCTGTGTTTGACCAACACAGCGCCATTGAGCGACACTCAGCGGCCCTGTCTTGCTTCTAGGAAGGCAGACCCATTGTGGAAGTCCAACCTTTTGTCCACCGGGACCCTCCAAATTTCGTTCGCCCACGAATTACGCTCGGGGAGAAAAAAAGAGAACGCAATGGAAGTTGAGATCCCGGCCTTTTGATTGACGCTAAATCCAAATTGGAGTATTTCATCGCCCACTGGAAAGAAAAGTCGGAGGAAAGCTCCGAATTAGGGCTCGATTAAGGTGAAGCGAAACCCCCTTCAAATCAGTCGATTCGAATACAACACTTTTTTTTAAGGGTATTGGACCAAACTGTCCGAAACTTTGCCAAATCACTCCTGATCATCTAAGAATTGTCCTGACACGTTCAAAATTTGGAGTTTTGGAAAAAATTGTTTAACTTAGACCAGACCAGAACTAACATGGCGTCGAGCTCTCATATTTCGATCAATATACAATTATCGAAGGCTCTGATATGAGAAGCGAAAGGGTCAAGACAATTTTACGACAATTTAGAACACTCTGG